TGCTCTCTAGTTGACCCCCACTGGAAGCCTATCCGTCTTCGCTGCTAGGTCAAACCACGACGTCGGATATCTCAGGGCTGGCAGCGTCTGGGCGCCTCCTGCGCACCCCCGGGCGCGGGGCCACGCCGCGGGGGGCGACCTACACAGCGCCCGCGCCGGTGATGGGCGGCGCGCGGCGGCGCGGGCGCGCCCGAGGCCGGTGACCATGCGCCGGAGCACCGACCGGCAGCCCTCCCACAGCCCGCCGACGCCGCCCTACAGCCCCCCGCGGCTCCCGCCCGCGAGGCCCTCGGACCGAGGGCTCCAGGCAGGGGGCCACATGCGAAGCCTACCCCCGCCCCCTACGACTTCTGAGGGGCAGGGTGGGGCTCACGTCGCTCGAGAGCTCCCGATCGGAGTGAGCCCCACCCTCCCCCTCAGAAATCCTGGGGGGTAGGGGTAGGGTTCGCATGTGGCCCCCTACCAGGGCAGCAGCGACGCGGCCGCCGCCGCCGCGCTGGAGCTGCTGCGGAGGGCCCCGGAGGACGTGCTGGCGCGGGGGCGGTCGGAGAGCGGCCCCCCGGCGGGTGCGGGCGGCGCGGGGCGGCGGGGCCGGCCGTCGGCGGCGCAGCTGGCGCGGGAGAGGTGCGCTGAAGTCGGGCCAGTCGCTCTACAGGAGGAGGCGGATGGAGGAGGAGGAGGAGGAGGAGGGAGGAGGAGGGAGGAGGAGGAGGAGGAGGAGGAGGAGGAGGAGGAGGAGGAGAGGAGGAGGAGGGAGGAGGAGGAGGAGGAGAGGAGGAGGAGGAGGAGGAGGAGGAGGAGGAGGAGGAGGAGGAGGAGGAGGAGGAGGAGGAGGAGGAGGAGAGGAGGAGGAGGAGGAGGAGGAGGAGGAGGAGGAGGAGGAGGAGGAGGAGGAGGAGGAGGGAGGAGGAGGAGGAGGAGGAGGAGGAGGAGGAGGAGAGGAGGAGAGGAGGAGGAGGAGGAGGAGGAGGAGGGAGGGAGGAGGAGGAGGAGGAGGAAGGAGGAGGAGGAGGAGGAGGGAGGAGGAGGAGGAGCGGAGGAGGAGGAGGAGGAGGAGGAGGAGGAGGAGGAGGAGGAGAGGAGGAGGAGGGGGAGGAGGAGGAGAGGAGGAGGAGGAGGAGGAGGAGGAGGAGGAGGAGGAGGAGGAGGAGGAGAGGAGGAGGAGGAGGAGGAGGAGGAGGAGGAGGAGGAGGAGGAGGAGGAGGAGGAGGAGGAGGAGGGGGGAAAATTCAAAAGAGAGTACGGGGACGCTGCTTTGACTATTTCTGCCCCTTTGGGGTGCCTTTGTTGCGCGTGGTTGGGAAAAAACAGCTTTCGCTCAAAGTCCTCCCAGAGGGGGGCACGCCCGACTTACAGGTACGCGCAGATGCTGCAGGAGGCTCCGCCCGACCTGCTGGACCTGAGCTCCCCCGTGGCCAGCTCCGCGCAGGCGGCCGCGCCGCGAGGAGCCGAGCAGGGCGAGTCGCTGCGCAGCGGAGGCCGGCCTTCGGGGGGGCCCCTCGCCGCCACGGCCGGGCCCAGCTCGTAGAGCTGGCTGCGTTTGGGCCCTCGGGAGGGGTCCCGGGGGTGGGTGTTGTAGTGGGCCTGTTCTCCACCACCACCACCACCACCATAAGTTGGAAGGGGGGAGGAGGTGGAGGAGGAGGAGGCGGATGGAGGAGGAGGAGAAGGAGGAGGAGAAGGAGGAGGAGGAGGAGGAGGAGGAGCAGGAGGAGGAGGAGGAGGACCTCCTCCCCCTCCTACCTGTGGTGGTGGAGGTGGAAGGCAGGCCCACCCTTCGAGCTGCCGCCGTTCCAGCTCGCCCTGCTCCGACAGCAGCGCCGCCAGAGCCAGCCAGTGCCGCACAGGTGCCGCCGGTCGCCACGGGGTCGGTGGCGGCGCTGCCCGCCGCGGGGCCTGCGGCGGGCTTGTCCAGTGACCTCTTCCGCGGGGAGACCGTTCTGGCAAGGTACGGTCCTGATGGGCGCTTCTACCGGGCGCGGGTGGTCCAGGCCTACATGCGGCAGGGGGCGTCGCTCGTGGACGTGGTGTGGCTCCGCCCGCAGGCGGCAGCCAGCGAGAGCGAGGCGGCAGAGTACCTGGACGGCCAGGGACGTGCGGCGACGCCGGACGAGGCCCGCTACCAGAACGGCCTGCAGGTGGGCCTCGACGTGCACCGGGGCGGGCAGCCGCCTGCTGCTGCCCCGGGCGGCGGGGCCCGCGCGGGCCCGCGCCGCCGGCGCGGGCCGCGGCGGGCGGCCCCGCCCTGGCCGCGGGGGCGCCGCCGCCCGACCTCCTCGACCTGCAGGCCGACTCCCCGGCGCGCGGGCACGCCTGCGGCGCCGCCGCCGCCGGCTTCCCCGGCGCGCTCGCCCCGCCGGCCTCGGGCCTGCCCAGCGCGGTGCCCGGCGGCGGGGGCTGCTGCGGCCCCGCCGCCCCTCTCGCGGCGCGCCCCGCCGGGGGCCCCTTCCCGCCGGCCGGCGGGCCCGCGCAGCTGGCCATTGGAAGGAGGAAAAGCGACAGGGTCATGTACTTTTTTCAGTCGGGCCGGTCCCTCCACGGGGGGGAAGCTTCAAGCATAGGCAGAAGATGGGTCTGGGGACTATGTTTGGAGCATGTTTGGGCATCTTTGGAGCATTTCTGGGGTATGTTTTATTTCTCGTCCAAAATCCCTCTGTAGGGGGACACGCCCGACTTAAGTATACTTTCAAAGCTCCGCTCGGTTGTCTCGGATCCGCGCTGGGCCCCCCGGGCGGCGTCTCTGGCGCCGCCCCTGGCACGCTTCGTGCGCCAGGGAGGGGGGGGGTCTGGCGCAAACCCGAGAAATCTCCGCGTGGGGTCGGAGCGCCAAAAGTTTATGTTCAGGGCGTTTTTTTCTTCTTCCACCCATGGGCAGTGGACTCTGTCCTGTCGCTGGAGGGGTGCCTGCTGGCATGCTGCCCGCGGCCAGCGCCGCGGCGGTGGTGCCAGCGCCTGCGGTGGCCGAGCCGTTCGGCTCCGTGGTCGAGCTGTCCGGTGCGCGCCCCGCCCCGGCCGACTTCGGCGCCTAAGTGAAGCTCGGGGGCGGCAAAGACTAGGGGTGTGTGGATATCATGGCGTGGGCCATGATATTTCCCCAGATTTCATGGCGCCTCTTCTTATTTCATTACGTCCCTGGCCCCCCCGCTAGACCGCGCGCATGCCGCCGGTCATGATTTGCACCCCCCCCTCTTTGACGCCCCCCTCTTTGCCGCTCCCGAGAAGCGCAGGGTCATGCTGGTCGGCTCGCTGCGTGGCCTGTGCGTGTGAGCATGCGGAGAAGACAGGGATCTAGGAGGTCGTCCCACTGGGAAAACAAGTGGTCGTAGAGTCTCGGGCCGATGGCCAGTACGGTCAGAAGGATGTTCGCGTGGTCGACAGCGTGGGCCTTTTGAGCAGTGGCACCTGCAAGAAGAGAGTCGCAGACATGGATGCCGGCACATGTGTTCACTCTTTGAGCTCCAGTTGGGAATTGTCGGGGTAGTCCGGTTGGTGAATGTGCACTTCCAGAGAGCTGTGTTTCAGCACTGGAGACCTGAAAACCTAAACATCCAGACGAAACAGCCTAAAACCAAGACGTAGAATAAGCTCTGGGAGCGGTTTTTAGGTCGCGTGCTATTTTTTAGCCCTCCTGGAAGGTCAGGGCAGCTGCAGGTGCAGCAAGGGGCGCTCGTGTTAGAAGTCTGGGCGGCCAGCAGGCCACGCGCAGCGATCGGCGAGACTCAGGAGAGGAAAAAACACACAGACACAATTAATCGGCGATTCCCAGGAAAATATTGGAAAATATGGGAAGTGGGGGGAAGACATAAACCCAGAAAATATAGGAAAATCTGGGGGATAGTTTTATTTGTGTGTATTTATTTGTGTGTCCCAGTTCCCCTTCAGAGACGCGCACCAGGAGTCACGCTTGCCTAAGGAGGTTAGGATGTAACTCCTGGGAGGTCAAACGCAACACCGGGGCCTGTATATCCGTGTCTGAGCAGGCCAAATCAGGCGACCTCGCTCAATACTTCAGCATCCCGATTAGTCGTGCTTCATCGGGCTCAATCCTGGGCTCAGTTCGAGCCGATCTGGCTCACGGGCCCCGCCATTGGGCTCAACAGTCCATCATCGTTCTTCTGAAGACTTCCCAGACTTCACCGGCGCTGCCTCCCAAATTGGGGCCGCTTTTCCGCGCAGCACGGAGGAGTCTGCGTGGCAGCTTCGGGGCGTGGCGAGCTCTGCGGCTGCCAGGGTCAGGCTGCCCGGGGCCGCTCGCAGAGACGACCGCCGCCCAGCGCTGCGCGCCATCGCCGGCGCTGGGGCCGGCGTCGGCGGCCTGCCTGCCTCGAAGAGGGCGAGAGCGACCCGGGCATCGTGGCGACCTCTTCTCGACCGCGCAGGAGCTTCGTTTTTGATGCGATCCCCCCTCCCAGGGAGGCGGACCTTGAGCCAGCGCCGGGCCAGCGATGCTGCAGTCTGCGGCGCAACATCAGGCCAGCTCGGGTGGCACGCGAGGCGTTGCGAGGTCAGCCGGCCGCACGTGAAGCGCCACCACGTCACGCGGGATTGGCGGGCGATTGCCGCCTCACCGCCTTCGCAACGGCCACGAAACAGCACGTCCCAGCATGGGGCCGAGTCAATGGGCGCACGGGATAGCTGGAGGCAGCCAAGCTGGACATCGCCATCCGCAGCCCTGCCACTGGCCACCATATCTGCACTGATTGGAGCCATAGGTGGTTCCAACAACGAAGGCGTCGCCGCACAGGCCATAGCACGAGGCAAATGGGAGGCGCCTGCCAGATCCGGTCCACGGTGCCGAGATTACGTTGACCAGCAGGACGCAGTAGGATCCCCTGCCGGGTAATCACGGCGACGCCGCCGAGGCCACCATTGCTGCCGCTTCATCTGATACCACAAGTTGTGGCCGTGAGTACCTCCACTACCACTAAGATAACAACTATCTGTGCCACCACCGATCGCCGCTACCCCAGTTACGAACCAACACCTGGAGCCCGTGGGTTGGGGGGGAAGCGAGGGGCGTCCGATGGTCCTTGTTGGAGGGCGCTGCCGGCAAGATTGTTGACTCATTGATGCTTCGCGTATCCACACCAGCTCCGTACCTTTTTGGCTCAAGCCGTTCCACTTCAAGGCAATGCCCAAATATTTTCCTGTCGTCGATGACGATTTGTCAGGGCGACTTCCCAGCGAGTAGGGCATCCGTTATGTTCAGTGTTGTGGCTGACGATACTTGTTCGAGTTTAGCATTTGTGATGAATGAGATGGCCATCCACGCGTTCCACTGCCAGGCTTAATTTTCTGTTTGCAGTTGGCTGCGACAGTGAGTTTGATTGTTGCCCTGCGCTCCTCAAGGCTGATTGAAGTTGACGCGGTGACCTGGAGTGCCGTCAAGACTTTCATCCCCACGTATGTTCGTTCAACCTCTCGCTGTATTCCAACGGGAGGGCCATGGCTGCCTCGAACGTCGAAGCGGTGATCGTCTTTCGCGCCTTGTCGCCGCTGTGCGTGAGCGTGTTGGACTGGATGCTCTTGGACAGAGAGTTGCTCTCGATGCGGTCGTGGCTGGTCCTGTTTTGCTTGGTCGTGGGCGCCATCGGCTACGTCAGTGCCGACAGCGAGTTCGGCGTGGTGGGGATCTCGGCATACAAGTGGGTCTGCTTGAACCCTGCCGGCATCGTCTTCGAAATGACGTACGGTAAAAAGCTTATCTCAGGAGTGCAGTTCAAGTCCCCTGTCTGGGGCGCGACCTCCTACACGAACGCGCTCGTGCTACTACCCATGCCAGCTACTGCCATCTCCAGTGGAGAGGTCGACAGGGCCACGAGCACCGAGATGGATCTCGTGTCGGCTTGCTGGCTCGTCGCTTCGTGCATCATAGGCCTGGGCATCAGCTGGTCAGGGTGGAACTGCCGGTCAAAGCTGTCGGCCACGGCCGACACGTTGTTGGGGGTCGTGTGCAAGTTGGCCAGCGTCCTCCTGAACGTCTCGATCTGGAACACGCACGCATCGCCGAGGGTCCTGTTCTTTCTGTTGGTTTGCCTCGCCTGGAATGCGGCCTATAAGCAGGCGCCGCTGCGGAAGGAGGCGAGCGCGACGCGCCCCGTGGAGGCCGGGGAGGAGGAGGTGATCGGCTGTGGGTGTGAGGTTGCGTGCGGGGCGAGGGATACGATGATGCGTGAACAAAAATCCGATACTGCGCCTGGCTTTGCCCCCCGCCCTTGGGGATTAGGCTCCACGGCGCTGTCAATGCGTGCAACGCCGCCCCCTGCTGGGGCGGGGCGCGGCGTGCCACACGGCCCGGGCCGTTGACTGTAGCTGTTTTCGCTCTGGCTTTCGGTCGGACCCGGTCACAGCCTGGCTTGGTTTCCCTGGTCAACTGGCCTCCTCTTCGTGACGTCGCGTGGCTCACGCACGCCGCGCCGCGGGCACCTGGCCAGAGGTCACAGCAGCTTTCAGCTGCCTGCTGCGCCGCCCCCCCCCTGTCCCTTGCGCCCGTTGGTATGCATGCTGGCTTCGTTGAGCCTGGTGAGGCACCCTGGCGTCCAGGTGACTTGCACATCGACCAGCTCTGGCTAAAATGCTTGCGTTTTCCTGGCTTCCGGTCCTCAGACACCGCCACAGCCTGGCCGTGTCTGCAGCTGCCGCCTGCATGGTGGGACGCGCCCCTACGTGGATTGCTCATGAGTGGTTCAGCCTTCGTCAGCCATGTGAGGTTGTCTCTGTTGACATGCAGCACTGGTACGCTGGACTGCTCGCGCAGCCCCGCGCTTTGCCACACTCGGTGGCACGTCTACCTCTGGCGCCTGGCGCGACAAGGTACAGTTCGTTCGTCTTGCCGGTGGTCTCGCCTCAGTGATGGCTATCCATCGGCCGCCTGGCTCTCCTGGCAGCTCCTGCAGCCTGCCTTCAGCCCCCGGCGCCACTCAGCATCTCTCGGCGGCAGCTTCGGCAGCCGTGAGTGCGCTCGCTGGGTAATTAGGCTTCGCCCGTAGCCTGGATCGACCTTTGACGCCGCCTGCGCCTTCGCTTGCGACTGCGACCAACAAAGTATCCACACCAGCCCATCCAAAACCGACGCCCAGTCGAATTGAGACTATCAGAGAAGTAAAGGAGCAAAGAGGGGGGCAGCCGTTCCCGTTCGAGGGAGGATCATGGATGAGTAGGGAGAAGGATGAGGACGAGGAGGAGGAGCAGGAGGCGGAGGAGGAGCAGGAGGATGAGGAGGAGGAGGAGGAGGAGGAGGAGGTGAATGAGGAGGAGGTGGAAGGCGAGCAGCAGAGCCAGAAGCATCCTGAATGCCTCTCGAAGTTTTTTTGGATGTGTCCTCGAAGTTGTTGGAAGACGGGATAGGAGGACGACAACGTGGAGAAGCACGAGGAGGATGGGCCAGGAGGAGGGGTGGGATGAGGAGGAGGAGGAGGAGGAGGAGGAGGAGGAGGAGGAGGAGGAGGAATAGGCGGAGGATGAGGAGGAGAATGAGGAGGAAGAGGGAAAGAAAAGGGCGAGCAGAAGAGCCAGAAGCCTCTTGAATGCGATGTCTCTCGGAGTCTCCCCGGATGTCTCGCGGCAGTTCTTGGGAAGCCTCTGGGAAAGTCTGGGGGGCCTGTTGGCGGGCCCAATGGCGCCTCTGAGCATTTTGGGTGCCTCGGGGATCCTCTTGAGGCCTCTTGGGGGTCTCTTGGGAGCCTCTCGGAGGCCGCTGGGGCGCCTCTGGGGGCTTCCTCGGCGCCTCTTGGGGCCCTCTTGGGGCCCTCCTGGGAGCCTCGCCCGCCAGCCCATCCAACAACAAGGAGGAAGAGAAGGAGAAGGAGAAAGACAGCGGAGGAGGACAAGGAGGAATCAGATAATAGGTCGGGGAGGGAGAGGGGGAGAAGGGACGAGGGAGGAGAATGTGAGGGAGGTGGATGAATGGCGAGCTTAGGAGCCTCTTGGGTCGTCTTGGGGTCTTCTTGGCGTTCCCGAGGGCTTCTTGCGTACCTCGGGGGGCCTCTTGTGGTCTGTTGGTGTCTCTCGGGAGCCTCTTGGAAGCACCTTGGGTGCCTCTTGGGGCCTCCTTGGCGCCTTTGGGGGCCCTCTTGGAGCCCTCTTGGGGCGCTCTTGGGAACTGTCGATGCGCTCTTGGGGCCATCTTTGAGGACGTCGTTCTCGCAATTCGCGTCCCCCTTGGGGAGTCCCAATAATCCCCTCCTGGGCCCTGGGCGCTCTTGCGGCCGTCTTGAGGCTCTCTCGGGCCCCTCTTGGGGCCCTCTTGGGCCATCTTGGAGCCATCTTGGAGCCATCTTGGAGCCATCTTGAGGCCTCGGGTGGCTACCGGAAGCGAGCGGGGAAGGATTTTGGTTGCTTGGAGGCCTCCTTGGGGGTCTCGGAGGCCTCTTGGAGCTGTCTGCAACCTTCTTGGGACCTCTTGGAAGCCATCTTGGAAGCCATCCTGGGCCATTTGCGCTATCCTGAGCCATCTTTGAGGTCACACTGGGCTCTCTGAGGCGCTCGTGGAGCCGTCTTGGGCGAACAAGTACCGTCTAACACCTCGCGAGCCCCCCCGTCCAGGTCCAGGGGAGGGGTAGGGGGGAGGGGTAAACCTTTTCCCCGAAGGGGAAGAAGGGGGTTGGAAGAGGAATCGCCCTAAACCGCCTACGCCCAGAGGGCTGGCAGGAATCACCCTGGCCATCGTCCAAGCTCTTGCGCGGGTCCATCGCCAGCCTGGGCTTGGCGGAATTCCCGACACCGACACCATGCGTTACAGTGGAGGCCCATGCCCAGAAGCACCCTGCTTGCCTCCAGTGTGCCCCGGTTTCTTGGGTTCCGATGGTTTTGCGATGGAAGGCGTGACGTTGCCACCAAATATCAATGGACGTCCTGGGGTCTCCGGGTTGGGTTTCTTGTGGATTTGCCCCCAGTGTACATAGTCATTACTGCTAACACCGCCGATGCCGCGGCGGCTGGCGGCTGCCCCTTCCCGCCTGCCCCGCGCCTCCTCTGCCAGGCTGCACTCTGGCCCTCCTCCCTCCTCCCTCCTCCCTCCCCCCTCCTCCCTCCCCCCTCCTCCCTCCTCCCTCCTCCCTCCTCCCTCCTCCCTCCTCCCTCCTCCTCCACACGGGGAGCCTTCACTGGCGAGGCGCAGCTTTGGAGCGCATCCCGAGGCGGAACAAAAGACAGGCGAGCCGACGAAAGCCACCCTCAGGTTTGAGGCAGTCTGGGGGTCTGAGCTGTGTACGACCACACGCTGCCACAGGCGACACCAAACGTGTCGACCCGACACGCCAAAAGCGCGCCGCGGCGATGTGTGTCCGAAGCTGTCCGGCGGGGGTGGGCGAGATTTGGGCCACCGATTCGGACAGGAAGGAAGAAGCTGCGAATCGCCCTGCGTCGCCGACGCCATGGACGTGCGTCGCGTCGCCGTTGAAAGCGTGCGAAAGCCCGCGGTCGGGGGCCGAACCCTGCGCGGAGCATTCCGTCGTGTTTTGTGCTGCTGCCCGGACCCACTCGCGCTGTGGAAGAGTCACCACGGGAGGGCTTGCTTCCCCAGCGCGAGGAGGTCTGGGGGCAGATCCAGCTGTGCAGGCCGACGCGCGCACTCCGTTCCAGGCGACCCGAGCGGAGCCGGAGCCCGACTTTCACCGAGCCGACGCCCCAGGCCTCTTCGCATTCCGTACCCCCGGCGTCCTGACTCTGTGGCAACGTCGACCCCAAGAGGTCTCGACCCCTTCTTCTCTCCCTCGTCCTCCTGCTTCTTCGTCTTCGCGTAGCTTCCCGCGCCAGCATTCCAGACGCTCCTCAATCGCACGTGGTGGCGCAGCCTTGCTGCGGTGATCCTCTCTGCTTTTGAATCGCTGTGTCGTGTCTGCATTGTGTGAGGTCTCGACCCCTTCCCTGGAACGAGTTTTTTAACCTTATAGCCGTGGTTTAAATGGTCCCGAGGCCCGGCAAGGGCCCCGGAAGCGGAGGGTTCCAACGGGGGCCTTGGGGAGGGGGTCTTCCAGAGAACCCCCCTGGGGCCTCGGAACTTCGTCAAAACAGGAGGTGCGAAGCCCCTGGGGGACCATTCCTGGAAAACTTCCTCCCCAAGAAACTCCTTGGAAGCCCTCGGGCGAATGGCAGGAATAAACAAACAACCTCCCGTGGTGAACTTTTCACGACGCGATCGTGTTTGGGTAGGGCACCCTCCCCGAACCCCCCAGAGGCCGAAAGTAGCGAACAGCATCCCGCCGCGATTTGTTCACGACACGTATTTTGGAGCATGGTTTTGGAACATATTTTTCTGGGGTCTGGGATTCTGGGTCTCCAGTGGGGGTCTGGGTCTGGGTCTGGGATTCTGGGGTCTGGAACCCCAGGGGGGGTCTGGGATTCTGGAACATTTTTTTTTTCCGCGTCGGCGCCAGCGGACGCACGGCGCGGGGCGGACACGAGGCGGCAAACACTGGACACACGGACAGTACATCACATGCCAAGTCTGCCCGGGAGTAGTCACATTATCCCGGCAAAGCAACCTCACAGCGATGTGTGTAAGCATCTCTGGAAGCATTCCAATTCGATTCAGGTGATGGTCCAGTTGTAGAGTTCTGCTGTTCTCGCAGTCGCATTCGCAATGGCAGTCGCAGTGGCAACGGCCTTAGGATCCAATGGAATCCTAAGGATTCCTTGGGATTCTTGAGGCATCCTTAGGCATCCATGGGAATCCTTAGGAAACCTTAGAAATCCTTAGGAATCTTGATTCCTAGGGATTCCGAAAGATCCCTGAGGAATCCTAAGGATTCCTAAGGATTCCTGAGGATGCTTAACTCTGCCTACGGAGTCCTAAGGATGCCTACGGATTCCTAAGGATTCCCAGGGATTCCTATGGATTCCTACGGATGCCTCAGCCTGCCTCAGTTTCAGCCTCAGCCTCAGCCTGCCTCGGCTTGCCTCAGCCTCAGCCTCAGCCTGCCTCAGCCTCAGCCTCAGCCTCAGCCTCAGCCTCAGCCTCAGCCTCAGCCTGCCTCGGCCTCAGCCTGCTCAGCCTCAGCCTCAGCCTCAGCCTCAGCCTCAGCCTCGGCCTCAGCCTGCCTCGGCCTCAGCCTGCCTCAGCCTCCCCTCCCCCCCCCTTCCCCCCCCCCCCATTCAGCCTCACCTTGTCTCAGCTTCGGCCTGCCTCGGCCTCATCCTCAGCCTCAGCCTCAGTCTCAGCCTCAGGCCTCGGCCTGAGCCTGCCTCGGCCTCAGCCTCAGCCTGCCTCAGCCTCAGCCTGCCTCAGCCTCAGCCTCAGCCTGTCTCAGCCTCAGCCTGCCTCAGCATCAGCCTCAGCCTCAGCCTCAGCCTGCCTCGGCTTGCCTCGGCCTCAGCCTCAGCCTGCCTCGGCCTCAGCCTCAGCCTCAGCCTGCCTCAGCCTTAGCCTCAGCCTGCCTCAGCCTCAGCCTGCATCAGCCTCAGCCTCAGCCTGCCCCAGCCTGCCTCAGCCTGCCTCAGCCGCAGCTTGCCTCAGCCTCAGCCACAGCCTCAGCCTCAGCCTGCCTCAGCTTCAGCCTCAGCCTCAGCCTGCCTCGGCTTGCCTCAGCCTCAGCCTCAGCCTTCCTCGGCCTCAGCCTCAGCCTCAGCCTGCCTCAGCCTCAGCGTCAGCCTCTCAGCCTCAGCCTGCATCAGCCTCAGCCTCAGCCTCAGCCTGCCTCAGCCTCAGTCTCAGCCTGCCTCAGCCTCAGCCTGCCTCAGCCTCAGCCTCAGCCTGCCTCGGCCTCAGCCTGTGTCAGCCTCAGCCTCAGCCTGCCTCAGCCTCAGCCTGTCTCAGCCTCAGCCTCAGCCTGCCTCGGCCTCAGCCTGCCTCGGCCTCAGCCTGCCTCAGCTCGGGCATTCCGAATATGGCACAGGACTTGTGTTCTGGGAACACGAAGATCACGAAGTGGCCCACAGTTGGCTCCGGGCAAGTAAAATATGGTACAGGAATGGTGTTTTGGGAACGCGAAGAACACGAAGTTGCCTACAGTTGGCTCTGGGCATTCAAAATGTGGCCTGGGAATGGTGTTCTGGGAACGCGAAGAACACGAAGTGGCCTACAGTTGGCTCGATGCATTCAAAATGTGGCCTGGGAATGGTGTTTTGGGAACACGAAGAATACGAAGTGGCCTATAGTTGGCTCCGGGCATTCCAAATGTGGCCCGGGAATGGTGTTCTGGGAGCACGAAGAACACGAAGTGGCCTACAGTTGGCTCCGGGCATTCAAAATGTGGCCTGGGAATGGTGTTCTGTTGGCTCCGGGCAGTCAAAATGTGGCCTGGGATAGTGTTCTGGGGAGTCCCCGGTTTTCCGCGGCACCCGTCCGGCATCTGCCCAGACCCCCTTGGGAAGTCATGATGCTCTCTTCCGAGACCACTAGGAACCTATCAGTCTTCGCTGTTAGGTAAAAGTGTCGGTACATCGTCCCCATACTATTCTTTGTTTTTTTGTTTGAAGATTCCTCCTGTAGAGGGACATGCCCGATGTACCTTGGAGGCGGGGGGAGAGCGAGGACAGCCCCCGTAGAGGGAGAGGGCTGCGGGCGGGCGGGCGCTGGGCGCTCAGGGAACCTCCGCGCGGGCATGGCTGTGCCCAGGGCCGGGGCACCGCCGAGGCGCTGAAGTACGTCGGACTGAAGAAGAACAAACACCATAATCATGAACTGTTGCCGCTCCGCTCGCCAGGGAGGGGGGTCCAGCGCGGATCCAAGAAACCCGCGCGGAGCGGCAAAAGTTTATGCTTGTGCAATTTTGTTCTTCCTCTTCTGGTTGGAGGCCCCTGCCAAGACACACCCTGCTGACCTCCAGGGGTCCCTGGGTGTCTCGGGTTTCGATGGTGCTGCTTTAATGTAGAGAAGCGCGTCGGTCCCACGCCAAAAATCAATGGACACCCTGGGGTCTCAGGATTGGGTTTCTTGCGGAAGGTTTCTTATGGACTGGTCATCTTAAGTTGGGCACGTCCCTCTACAGGAGGAATATTCAATATTCAACAATACGCAAAAGACTCTGGGGACGATTAGTTCAGCATTTTGTGACCATTTGAGGGTAATTTTTGGGTATTCTTTATTTTTCGTCCAACATCCCCCTGTAGGAGGACGGGCCCCTGTAGGAGGACGGGCTCGACTTGAGACTGTTTTCAATTGTAAGGAACGGTTGGGGCTCGGAATGGGCTCGGTGTTCTTTTTCGCCGGGCGCGCTCCACTGCTCGCAGAGTGCCAGCATGTCTTTCTCTATATGTCTTGGATCGTACACGGCGGATCCAGGCCATTAGCGAGCATTGGAATTCAGGGGCAACGTAACGAGTACTCATTAACGGGTATTTTGGAAAGTTGCCGAAAGTTGCCATTTCAGGGCGTCTTTCTGGCATTGCAGCGTTACCCACATCGGGAAGGGTTGGGTTCGCCGGGCCACTGGCCAAAGTACCCGTCAGTGGATTCCCGTTAAATGGGCGTTGGGGAATGTTCTTCCCAATGGCCGTTTCTCTTGCGGCCTTCGTGCACGCAGGCGCTTGTGGGAAGGGCAAGGAGGGGATTCGTTCCTCCTCGGGCGCTCCTTCGATCGGCTGCCTGACTGGCAGGAGGCGTGCGAAGCGGCGGTCTGGGGGCTGCGCAGTGCTTCTGGGAGAAAGCGCGAGGGCGTACTGCTGGGCAGTCCTTATGGGAGGAGGACTTGGTCCTAGTCCCGGGGAGACGGTCGAGACCACCCTGCCAGGAAAGCGCGTAAGGCCCAGAAAGACAGTCACCGGGCTGGGAGGGTGGGGACGGGAGGGATGATGTGATCATCCGTATGGTGGCGTGTGTCGAGTGTGCCTAATGCGCATGTGTGCTCCGTCTCTCTTCCCAGCCCCATTTCTCCAACCCGAGAATTGTCTTTCTGGATGGCTCGAGTTGGCCGAAGCTCCAGTTTGGCGACTCTTTTTGACGATCCCGTCCCGGATCTGTTGACGCTCCAGTTGTTGGTGGAGGGCTTGCAGCGGAAGCTGGCATCAGATTTCAGATTGTGTCGCGTCATGTTCTTGACGGCCTCGCCAGGCTGATTCCCCTGGACTCGAGTCTTGCGTCTCCCTGGTGTTGGTCAAGCAGTGGCGAAGCGTCCTGGCTCGCCTATAGCCCCACCAAACAATGTTCTAAGAACCTTTTGTGGTTTCCACGATATGTTCTTAGAACATGTCTGACGGAGTCTGTCTTGTTTTAACACATCGGGTTAATGTTCTAAGAACCTTGTTTTTGTTCTTAGAACACTACTGGGTTCTAGGACATTTCGCGGTAGAACTATAGGAATGCCCGGACGGTCGGCCCCTGCTCATGTTGGGGGCCCACGTTGTCGAGCAAATCGGGAAGTCTGTGGGCTGGCGTCGCAGATGCATCGCCGACGTCGCAGTTGCTTTCCCCATGCACAGGCGCTGCAACGGCAGTCCAGATTTCCGACGGCACGTTTTTGCAATCCAGGCGCTCTTTCTCGATCTCGGCCTCTGGGGAGGTGGAGCTGCCGTGAAAGGCTCCCCCCCCGAAAAAAGGGGCGCCGACGTCGCGGATGCATCGCGGATGCAGCGGCGATGCAGGGGGAATGCGGCGTGATCCGAGCCGAAGTTCTGGGGGTGAATAACGAACAAGTGGCACGCGTGCCCTGGCTCTTGCACCCAGGAGCTGCGAGGGACAGGAGGCTTCCGCCTCCTTCCTTCAGGAGTTTACTTCTGTGGCCGTGGGGGGGGGGGACGCACGACGAACGAACGAGCGACGACGACTGATGAAAATACAGAGATCGGAGCTCCAGAGCACAGCTGCGCAAGAGAATAGAACCCCCCCCTTACCTGACGCTGTGCACCTAACCTGACGCCGGCCCCGCTGCCGGTGGGCGGCACCCTGGCCAGGGGAGTGGAGGTGCCGGTGGGCTCTGGTGAGCGCCCGCGGCGCGAGGACTCGCAAGCTGAAGCTCCCGCTCGAGCGCCGGCCACATGTTCAGAAGCACAGCGCCCATGCGCGGGAGTGTCTGCCGCAGCACCCCTGACGGTGCCCACGCGCGGGAGTGTCTGTGTCTGTACAGTGGCAGAAAGAGGAGTCAGGGAGAAGGTATCACGAGTATTTGGCCCCACATCTCGCCTGGGATGGCGGATGTTGCTTCAGTGACATTGACGACGACGACGGGTGGCGACGACGACGACGAAGATGACGACGACGACGACGACAGCGGCGGTGGCGGCGGCAGGGACCACGACGACGACGACGACGACGACGGGTGGCGACGACGACGACGACGACGACGGCGGCAGCAGCGGCAGCGGCAGCGGCGGCAGCGACGACGACGGCAGCGACGACGGCGGCGGCGGCGATGACGACGACGATGTCGGTCGTCGATGTCGGCATTGGGTGCGCTGGTCACATCACATCATTGGGAACGGTACTCCAGATGTCGTAATAAAAGGGAGGGGGTCTGGACCCTCCAAGACAACCCATTTCAGACCCCCCCCGTGGGAGAACCTTCCAAAACATCGTCCCCAGACCCCCCAGGCCCCCCAAGATAGCCTGGACGAGACCCCCCCCGAAATGAGACCCCCCTCCTTTTCTTACGAAATCTGGAGTACTCTTGCCTCTTCGCCGACCCCACCCCTCATTGGGTGCGCTGGTCACATCCCTCATTGGGTGCGCTGGTCACATCCCTCATTGGGAACGGTACTCCAGATTTCGTAATAAAAGGGAGGGGGTCTGGACCCTCCAAGACAACCCTTTATTATGTAATCTGGAGTACTCTTGCCTCCGCGCCGACCCCACCCCTCATTGGCTGGTGTGCGGCCGCTTGAGAGCGCCGGCCGCAGCCCCGATTGGGGCTGCTGCTCTCGCCCGTGCGCCGACCACAGTGTACACTTATGTGTAAGGTGATCTTCAGGAGGGGAAGAAACACACAGATACAATGAATCGTCGATCCCCCAGAAAATATAGGAAAATATGGGAAGTGGGGGGGAAGACAGAAACCCAGAAAATATAGGAAAATATGGGGAATAGTTTTATTGGTGTGTATTTATTTGTGTGTCCCAGGGCCCCTTCAGATCTCGCCTGCGCGCTGGCCGCATCCTTCATTGAGGACCAGACTCCCGCATCAGCGCCGGGCACCTCCTTTATCCGAGAAGGCGTTGCCGCGCGAGCGTCAGCCACGATCTTCATTGGCAGCGGCACTCTCCCCCGAGCGGTGGGCGCGCGCTGGGCGGGAGCCGGCGGGGTGGCGTCAGGTGAACTACCTGCAGTGCGTCAGAGTACGTTCAAAAGCGCCGGGTCCATTGCCGGCGGGGGCGGCGTCAGGTTATGGGCCTTGGCGTCAGGTTAGGGGGTTAGGGGGGGTGGAGCTTGTATTCAAAAGTGACGCGCGTCGTAGGTCAGATGTCAGATGGTTCCTTCTGCCCGCTGGCTTTTTTTGTGCAGAAGCCTCGCGCTTTTTCAGCCGTGACACGCTGATGGGGTCGTCCGATCGGCGTGGCATTCCCAGTCATCCGACGGGCTAATTTCTTTCAATGCGCGGCCTCAGCAGGTCCTGAGCCCTTCCTTGTGGCCAGCCTTTCGCCCTAGATATCCGTGTGGTGACGGTCCCTCGGCTAAACAGATTGGCCCCGCGTTCCAAGATCGATGAGGCTCGCTTCGAGTGGAAACATCAGATCGTCGGATCCAGAGGGTGTGCTTGAGGAGGGGGAGGAAGGAGGAGGCTGCACCCGCTGGGATCTCAAGCCACCAGGACTCAGGAACCAGGAGAAAGGAGGAGGAGGAGGAGGAGACCGCGGCCGCATAGACCCGCGGCGCGGCGCGGGGCTACGGCGACTGGACCGCCATGCCCGCAGTGCTGCAGGAGGAGGAGGAGGCAGGGAGGAGAAGGAGAATGGCGAAGTAGGCGAAGAAGGAGGAGGAGGCGGGAGGAGAAACAATCGAGAGGAGCAGCGACGGTGGTCCTCCGACCCGCGCGGCGTGTGGCACCGCCTCCTGCTCTCTGCGGCGATCTATGGGGGGGACACGAGAAGGAAATGGCCCTCTCAGAAGGCAGCGGGACTTCTCAGAAGCCCTCGCGCCTTCTGAGAAGCTTTCGTGTTGGCCTTCGGGGAAGGTTCAGAAGATTTCTCAGGCCGGGGGCCTTCCGGCCTTCTGAGAAAGCCTTCTCTCTCCCTCACTGCCCTCTCGCTCACCGCCGACCTTCCTCCTCCTCCTCCTCCTCCTCCTGCACCTTCTCCTCCTCCTCCTCTGCTTCCTCCTCATCCTACTACTCCTCCTCCTCCTCCTCCTCCTCCTCCTCCTCCTCCTCCTCCTCCTCCTCCTCCTACACCCCCCTTCGCTCGCCGCTGGTGCTCACCGGCGAGAGGCCAAGGCGAACAAGATCACGCCCCGGCAGCTGGGCGGCGGCACCGCCCCCGAAGACGGGGCGCCCTCGCCGCAGGCGCCCTCGCAGGAGCAGCGCCGAGCGCCGCCGCCGCCGCCGCAGGCGGCGATGCCCATCGGCCGTTTGAGGTCGGGCACGTCCCTATACAGAATAGTCAGGGGACGATCTGTTGAGCACTTTTTTGACTGTTTGGGGTATGTTCTGGTTTGTACTTTGAGTTGTTCGCCCAAGAGTCGCCTTTAGGGGGACATGTCCGACCTAACGGTCGTTGAAAGTAAGTATTTTCGGATTCCCAGAACCCAATATATTTCAAGCGCCTTCCTACTTCAATAATCGAAGTGCCTTTTGCTGCGTGGTGTTGCTTCCTCTGGGCGGGCCCGAGCCCAATCTGCTTTTACCCGCCTTCCTACTTCACGTTTCTGCCTACCTCTTCTGACCGATGGGCAGTGGGGGGGGAGGATCGAAGAAGAAGCAACGGCACAAACAGAAGTTTTCCAGCGCCCCCCGCTGACTTCGTGGACCCGCGCGGAGGGCCAAAAGTTTACGTCTGTGGCGTTCATCCTCTGGACCACGGGGGGGGCGAGGCTCCGGGGGGGGGGGACACGCAGTGGCCCACGAGCGCCCAGGAAGTCGTCGACGGGGGCCTGACGGCCCCACCCCGCCCAGGCACGCTCGGCTTCGCTCTCGGGGGCCCATCGGCAGTCCATCGGCGACGTGTCGCCGATTCCAGGTCGACGTCCCCCCCCCCCTCCCTTGCCTCGAGTCGGGCATGACCCCCCTACAGGCGGAACATCCCAGAACAAGTCAAACCATGGTCGGGGGAAGTTTATTTTTTCTGGTCTGATGATGTTTGAATGGTGTGGGCTTGCTTTCCATGGTACTTCCGAAGCCCGTCTGTGGGATGACATGCTCGACCGAACCCTTGCCCCTCGCGTCACCGGGAGGCGCGCCGGTCGTCGCCGCCACGGTCGGCCGAGGTCCGCGTGGAGGTCCGCGCGCGTCGTGCCTCGTTCGCTCCCAGATCGCCAGCGATGCGAGCTCTTTTGGGGTCGATCCGGGCGCGGTTTGCTTCGATAGAATATCGGGGCTGGACAGAACCCCCAACAGTGACACGTTTTCGGTTTTCGGTTCTCGAGAGGGCGCCGTGGCCGTCATTTTCCAGGCTTGCGCCCGCCAGGTTTGGGCCTCAGGTCGTTTTCACTAAACCACGTTTTGCTAAAGGGGGGTCTGTCCATCCCCGAGAATAGATGTCGGCCTCTGGGTCGGGTGCCTCGCGTTTGCTCCTGGTCCTTCCGTTGTGGCCACGCTGGCAGGACAGAGCGTCCTCAGCAGCACCCGTCCCTCGAGAGTGCTGCGGCCGCACTGGCAGGACAGAGTGTCCTCATGAGCGCCAGTCCCGCGGTACAGACTTCTGTGTTGTCGTTTCCTCTTAAAAAATCTCTCGGCCTTTGGGCCCCGTTGCCAGGTCCTGGGGCCACCCTTTGGAGCAGAAGGCAGGCGTGAGCGCGCTCTTTCGTGCCGAAGGGCGCCATGATGTGCATGCAGGTCTCTTTCGAAGAACCCTGCTCCTTAGGTCAGGGATGGACCTAAACGGTGTTTTGGCGATTTCGTGGGCCGTTTTCGTTTCGATTTCGTTTTGCGTGAAAGGCGGATTGAAGACAAAACGAGGGAAAACGAAAACAACACGAAAACGAACAACACCGTTTAGGTTCAGCCCTGCTCCTTAGATGGTGCGGGCCCCGTCCGTAGATTTCAGGCCCGCGCCTTCTGAGAAGCCCGCCCCTCCCTGACCGCCTCCAGCGCCCCCCCCCCCCTCTGCGGCGCTCCTCTCGGGCGCCGCTTCCCTGGCGCGCCCCGGGCGCGCCCCAGGGAGGTGTCAGGAGGACAAAAAAACACGGACACACATAAATCGTCGATTCCCCAGAACATCGTAAATATGAGAAAATATGGGAGGTGTAGGGAGGGGGGGGGAAGAAGCCCAGAACATACTTGAACATCATATGGGGCTCCTGTTGTTTGTGTCTGCTTCTTGGTGCGTCCCAGGGCCACTTCGAGGTGGGGGGCGCCCAGCGCAGGTCCGAGAGATCCGCGCGGAGCGCCAGGAGTTGGCGCTTTTGTCTTCTGGTTCTCTTTCTGCTGTGGGTCGGCGGCGCGCCGAGAGGGGCAGGGTTGGGTCGGGCGTGTCCCTCTACAGGAGGAGCATCCAAGAATGGGCCAATTGGACCATCTTTGACCATTTAAACCATTTTCGACAATTGTTGGCAATTTTTGACAAGGAGGTATGGGGATATCTTTTTGACCATTTTTGGCAATGTTGGCGCAGTGTTTGCCAGTGTTTCAGCTTTCGTCCCAGATCCCCCTGATGGAGGACATGCCCGACCCAAGGGTAGGGGGATGGGGGGAAGGCTTCTGAGAAGCACCCCTGCTCTTCAGAAGGTGCCAGCCTCACATCTATATTACACCAGAGAAAACCCCAATCAGTGGATGGTTTTCGCTGAGGAGATCGACCCGGAGCCCGGGAGCCCGGGAACCCAGAACCCACCGAAGTCGGCCCGGAACCAATAACCGAGAACCCAGGAGTCCGGAACCGGGAACCCGGGAACCCAGCCTGCTACCAAAATCGGCGTGGAATTCCCTTCAATCTTTCAACTTTCGCTAGGACCCCTTCAGGGGGAATATTCAAAAATAGTGAAAACATAGTTTGGGGGATATGTTCTGAGTACTTGTTATTCGTCGTCGAAAATCCCCCTGCAGGGGGACACGCCCGACTTAACGCAAGGGCCCGCGCCTTCTCTGAGGCAGCCTCCTCCTCCTAAGGCCCGCGGGGCGGCCCGCTGTGCGGCGCCCCGTCGGGCAGGGGGTCGCCCTCCAGCTCCGCTCTGTCCGCGCCGCGGGGGCCTCGACACCCAGACTCAGAGTTAAGGCGGGCCTGCCCCTCTACAGGGGGGAATCACCAAACATAGTAAACAAATAGTCTGGGGAGGACTTGTGTTACTATTATTGACAACGGTGGGGGTATTGTTTTAGTTTTGTCTTTTTATTATAGTTATGCTTCTTCTTGTTATTATTATGCTTATTAGCATCTTTATCATTATTATTATTATTATTTGTATTATTATTATTATTATTATTACTATTATTAAGTCGGGCGTGTCCCCCTGTATGGGGACACGCCCGACTTAAACTCAGAGGTGAGGTGATCGCGAACATGGACTATAGCAACGGGATTAGCAACGGGCCCCACTTCCATGGGAAATCGCGGGTTCCCGCCGCTGAGCGAGGCGGCACCGGCCGCATTTTGGGGAGGGCGCCTCCCCCGATCCATGGATCTGGCGACCGCGCGCCAAACCCATGGATCGCTAATCCATGCTTGCGCGCCCCTAAAGAGGAGGAGAAGGCACCCCTACCTCTACCCTCCGCCCGTTTTCCCCCATTTTGGGCCTCCTGGGAGGCCGTCCGCCTCGAGATGCTGGTCAGGACGCGCCCCAGGAGAGGTCCAGGGAGTTGCGGTATCAGTGCCTCTTTGTTTGCCCACAGACCCCCTTGCGTTGTGGAGACATGGCGGCGGGAGGGTTTTCGCTGTCTTCGGCCTCCAGGCGCCCTTGCCCGTCCTCGGGATCGGCGAGAAAACGGCTCAGGAGGAAACGCCGGCGCCGAGGAAGGGGTCGAGACCTCTGGGGGTCGACGCTGCGACAAACTCGCGACGTCGGGGTCTGGGAGCGGCGCGCTCGCGCAAGCAGCAGCGGTGACGCCGCGGCGTGGCGGGGCGGGGCGCGGGTGCCGCGATCCTTTCCCGCGTGGCCCCGGCCTCCGCCCGCGCCCTGCCCGCTTCTTCCTCGCGCGGTGGCCAGCGCTCTGCTCCGGACTCTAGCTCTACGAGGTAGAGGTGTATTTAAAAGCCAATCAAACCGACAAGAGATCCTTGCGGCCTGATGTTTGTTCGCCTTGGTAGCCAGTGCATCGCGCAACGCGGTGCCCACGCGTTCAGCCCCGTTTCTCCCTTTCCGCGGTCGACGTTGGAAGGCATGTGCTGCGTGCGTCAGTGCGCGCGTCGTTCATGCAAGGATCGGTTCCCGTGCGTCGCTTGCCGCGAAGGGCCCTCTCGAAGTCCTTCGACTCGCTCTGCGGTCCCTGCGCGCGGTGCAGGCCTCGTGGGACAGCACCCCTGGATGTTGCACGTGCGCCCGGTGTCGATTGCCGTCTGAGCGACATCAGCTTCAATTTGAAAACTCCTTCATGCCTCCTTCCCCCTCGGTTCCCTCTAACTTTTCGTTTCTGCGTCTTCTGTCCCCGGCCCTCTTGCCCGAACGCTTCCAACTTCGAGCTTCGATGATCGATGCTCATGTTTTTTTTTGCCTTCGGGGCCCCGCATCGTCGCCGCGGCTGGGCGCAGTTCGAAAGACTGGTGCGTTCGGGCCCCAGGACGGCCCCGGGACCTTTCTTCTGGACGCCCGAAATCGGCACGGAAAGAATGGGTACAATACCCAACAGCGGATCTTGTTCATGTTGAACAGGACTCGCTGTCCGCACCGCCGCGGCCTGTGTCCATTCGAGACAGAAGGCCGCCTGCCCAACAGCGGCCGCTGTTGCTTTGGGGCAGCACTTGTTGTTGGGCATGGTACCCATTTTTTCCGTGCCCCTTTCGGGCGTCCAAATTTCTAGCCGGTCAGGTGGACCGTCTTTCAAGCAGTGGCGAAGCGTCCCGACGTGACTATCGGTCTATCAAACAACGTTCTAAGACCCTTTTCTTAGAACGTGTCTGGTTGAGTATGTCTTGTGCTAACGCATTGGGCTTATGTTGTACGAACAACCGTCTTTGTTCTTCGAAACATTCTGGGTTCTAAGAACATTGCGTGGCAGGCCTTTCGGAATGCCGGGGTGGCCGGTCCCTGCTCAGCATGTTTGATCTGGTGGGAAGGCTCGTGCGTGAGATGTCGCAGGAAAACATGAAGCACATGCCGACGGAAACGACGGGGGCGGTTTTCATCGAGCATTCTGGGTTCTGAGAACATGGCGTGGCAGGCCTCTCGGAATGCCGGGGGGGCGGTCGGCCCCTGCTCCAGCTGTTTGCTCTGGTCGGAGGGCTCGTGCGTGAGTTCGCAGGAAAAAACGAGCAATAGCTGTTTTGGTCGGAATGCCGGGGCGGTCGGTCCCTGCTCCAGCTGTTTGCTCTGGTCGGAGGGCTCGTGCGTGAGATGTCGCAGGGGAAAAGAAGAAGCGCATGCCGACAGGAAAACGACGGGCGGCTTTCATCGCCCCGGCGCGCGGGCGCGGATCCGGAGTCTCGGGGGGGAGGTCTCAGGGCGCCCGGGGGCCTGGGGGTGAAGTCGGGCCTGTCGCTTCACAGGGGGAATATTCGAACATAGTTTTTTTTTCTCAAAAGAAATAAAGTCGGGGGACTTTGTTTGGAGTATTCGTTGACAATTGTGGAGTATGGTTCCAGCATGTTTTTTTTCGTCGTCGACCGTCCCCCTGCAGGGGGACAATCCCCAGCGTGAGCCTTGGGGGGGGGGGGGGGCTCGAGGCGCCCAGGGGCCCCTGCGGGTCCCTTGGGGAGCTCGCGTGGGCCGGTCTTTGGGGTCCTCGTGGTCCGCCAAGAACAGGCCAGCCACAACTGGGGGAGCTGTGGTCCTTACCCCCCTGGGGGACCCATCGATTCGAGAGGTCGTCGATGCGATGGGTTCCCCCAGGGGGGTAAGGACCACAGCTCCCCCAGTTGTGGCTGGTCGGAAGAGGCAGGTCTGGGCGGGCTGCATGGCCGCCCGGGGCCGTCTCGGGAACCTCTCGGGCCCGCCTGCCTTCTCGGGGGCGGCAAAAGTTTCCGACCGTAGACCCCCTCGCGTCGTTGGAGAAAAGCACGACGGCAGTTTCTTGTTGCTATTTTAGGCCTCCGGGTGGCCCTCGACCCCAGGACCGTCAAGAAACGACTTAGGATGAAACGCCAGTCCCCGGGAATGGGTCGAGACCTCTGAGGTCGGGGGCGTCCAACAGGGGGGTGATGACTAGGGGGGGTGGATATCATGGCGTGGGCCATGGTATCTCCCCAGGTTTCATGCTGCCTCTGCTTATTTCAGTACGTCCCTGGCCCCCCCGCTGGGCCGCGCACATGCCGCCGGTCATGATTTGCACCCCCCCCCTCTTGGACACCCTCCCCTTGGCCGCTCCCGACTTCGAAGGCGCGGACCCATGGCATTTTGCACGGCGGGGGCAAAACGACAGGGGGGGGACTGGCAGAGGAGGAGGAGTAGAAGGAGAAGGAGGAGGAGGAGGAGGAGGAGGAGGAGGAGGAGGAGAAGGGGGGCGTTGCCCCTCCGATTGACGGGGGCGGCGCGCAAGGGCAACAGCGGCCCCGCGTCCACCGCGGCGATGCCCCTGGCTCTGGAGAGCCTGCGCGAGGGGCTTCGCGAGGAGAGCGCCCCACGCCCCAGGGCCCCCAGGGCAACATGATGAGGAGGAGAGAGGAGGACGATCAGGAGGAGGAGGAGGAGGGGGAGGAGGAGGAGGACGAGGAGGAGGAGGGGGAGGAGGAGGAGGAGGAGGAGGAGGAGCAGGAAGACACGAGGAGGAGGAGGAGGAGGAGGAGGAGGAGGACGAGGAGGACGAGGAGGAGGACGAGTAAACACAGCACATTCCCCCGCAGTTGCGGATAAGAGTCTGTGGGCGGTGTGGATATTTGCAATATGCGAAGTTCTGAAGAAGTTTGCCACAGGCGTTCACTTAGCGCGAAGTATACGACGAGCCCGCCGCATTCGCCGTCGTCCTGTTAAGGCAATGTTGGTGGGTCGCAGGTGGGTCGCGGGTGGGTCGCGGGTGGGTCGCGGGTTGGTCGCGGGGTGGGTCGCGGGGTGGGTCGCGGGTGGGTCGCGGGTGTGTCGCGGGGTGGGTCGCGGGGTGGGTCGAGGGTGGGTCGCGAGGTGGGTCGCGGGAGGGTCGCGGGTGGAGTCGCAGGTGGGTCGCGGGTGGTCGCGGGTGGGTCGTGGTGTGGTTGGCGGGATGGGTCGCGGGTGGGTCGCGGGTGGGTCGCGGGTGGGTCGCGGGGAGGGTCGCGGGTGGGTCGCGGGTGGGTCGAGGGTGGGTCGCGGGCTGGTCGCGGGTGGATCGCGGGCTGGGTTGCGGGGGGGACGACGACAACAATACCAACGCAAATCATCGCAGCGGAACGCAACAACGAGCAGAGTCCGCGCCGCGGAGTTCCATGTGAGCCACGCTGGGATAGTGAATGACCGTCTGGCCCCCTTCATTCGATAATGACAACAATCGTAAGAATACGACTACTAATAGTAGGAGCACTAAGATTTGTAACACAACTAGTAATACTATTGATTACTCTTACAATTAATAGTATCAGAATCCGGAGGAGGAGGAGAAGGAAAAAAAAGAGGAGGAGGAGTAGGAGGAGGAGGAGGAGGGGTGGCAGGAGGACAGTCATGAGATGGGTGGTCGAGAGTATAGAAGGGGGTTATCCGTTTTTTGCTGTTCTGTTTTGGTTTGAACGTTTTCGTCGTTGTCGCCCCGATGTATTCTGACGTTTGCGTTGGTACGATGGGTTCCTCCTGCCCCGGGGATGCGTTCTAGCAGCTGCGCCTCGTCGAGAGCCTTCTGGGGGGTGTCCGAACCGTCATCATCGACCACCAGGGGTTTGAGTCATGGCCCGAACAGTGTCCGAACCGTCTTGATCGGCCACCGGAGGTTTGAGTCATGGCCCGAACGCCGGACCTCTTCCTCCCGATGCGAAGATGTCGGCGCGCTGAGTTTTTTTCTTGTTTTTGTCCTCCAGGGACCCGGTGCTGTGTAGCAGCAGGCACAGCTTGCAGGGAGTCCTGGGGAAAGGGTCGCGACCTCCAGGGGTCCACGCCGTGCAGGGACCGCGACGTCGATGTTCTCGCGAGCAGGAGGAGCAAGCTGGTGTCCCTCGGCTCGCCGCCCTGTCGGTCTCCCTGACGCCGCTCGTCGCTCTCGTTGGCCCCACCGTCGCCGCTGCCGCTGCTGCCATCTTACCAGGGTGGTGGTTTCACTTCCGCGTCCTGGCCTGGCAGACGCACGACGCGGCCCTGAGCACCCAGCATCCCGCAGGCTGGGTGGTGATGGTCCAGGAGGGAAACAATCACACAGATACAATCGATCGCAGATGCCCCAGGAAATCGGGGAAAGTATGGGAAGTGGGGGGGGAGACGAACACCCTAAAAATATGGGAATCCAGGAGGAGGAGGAGGAGAAGGAGGAGGACGAGGAGGAGGAGGAGGAGGACGAGGAGGAGGAGGAGGGGGGGGGGGGGGGGAGGAGGAGGAGGGGGAGGGGGAGGGGGGGGGAGGGGGAGGGGGAGGGAGGGGGAGGGGAGGGGGAGGGGAGGGAGGAGGAGGAGGGAGGAGGAGGAGGAGGAGGAGGAGACGAGGACGAGGAGGAGGGGGAATCTTCTGCTTTGTGTGTATTTATTTGTGTGTCCTGGGGCCCCTTCGGTGGTGGTGGCCACTGCGCGAGGCAGCCAAGCCCCTGGGGCAGCGCAGCTCGCACCTCACGCCCCGAGCAGCGCTGCCACAGGACGGCGCCGGCGACGACGGAGACCAACCGCGCCTACGATCGCGGCGCCCCGCGGCGTCCTTCCGAGCGCAGCCCCCGCGCCTGCGAGTAAGTCGGGCCTGTCCCCCTTCAGGGGGAAGATGCAGGCATAGTCAGAAGATAGTCCGGGGACGATGGTGTTGACTATTTCCGCCCATTCGGGTGGTATTTTTTTTGAGAATGTTGAATGTCTTTCGCCCAAAATCCCCCTTTAGGGGGACACGCCCGACGTAAGCCTACGATCGCGGCGTCCTGCGTTGTCCCTTCGAGCGCGGCTCGGGGCAGGGCCCGCGCAGTTCGGGCGGACTCCCTCGGGCCTTCCAGGGCCGCGCGCACGGTGTGGCCGGTCGGCGGTGTGTTCTGGAATCTTGTTTCTGCGGCAATCCTGCTCGGGTGCGCGCAGCATTGGCTGCACGAGTGCACTCTCGCTCAAAAGCACGGGCAGATTCGCATGCCAACCTTGCGCACGATGCCGTGCCGCACCACGCCGTTACGGGCCCCACCGTTTGCCCGCCTCGGGCCCGTTTCGGCACTGTCCACCAGCCCCGTTCACAGCGCGTTATCATCATTATTCGCATCCTCATTATCATCATTAGCAGCAGCATTATCATCATAATCATTACCATCACCATCATGAATCTCATCATCATCACTATAATACTCGACATCATCATCATGAACATCATCATCAACATCATCATCATCAGAAACCTCATTCACAGCATTATTATCGTCATCACCATCGTCATCTTCAGCCTCATCCTCACCATCACTATCTATAGCATCATCATCGTCATTGTCACCATCACCTCCATAATCATCATCATCATCATGAGCAGTCATATCAGCATCATCATTCTCAGCAGCACCATCATTGTCCTGATTCTCAATCACATCCTCATCAACATCATCATTCTCACCAGAGTCACCACCAGTATCATCGCCATCATCATCATCATCACCCTCATCATAACCATCATCATCAGTATCATCAGTATCATCATCACCGTCATTATCATCATCGTTATCTTTGTCAGTATCACCATCGTCACCATGATCGGCATCCTCATCTTTATCCTCATCCTCATCCTCATCCTCATCCTCATCCTCATTACCATCATCACCATCATCATGCGCTTTGTCTGTTGGCCCTCGCTTTCAAGCTGCTTCGTGAGCGCACTCATGGCACGCCCATTTCAGATCTCTGTCACACCGAAGTGCTCTCAGTTGCCGAACGCTCCCCCGTGCTGTAAGACAAGAACGTAGCGCCGCCAAGAACGTGAAGTCATGATCATCAGCATCATCATCACCAGCAGCAGCAACGACATCATCAGCATCATCAACATCATAGTCATCATCATCATCTTCATCATCATCATCATCATCATCAGTATCGTCATCATCATCGCAAGGCGCCATTGTCAAAAACCATCGGGATTGTCGATACCACCATTATTAGTTTAATCAGCAGTATCGTCATCACTCACCATTTTCGTCGTCGTCATAACCTTCGCCATCGCCATCGTCATTGCCATCCGCATCATTAGCAGCACTCGCCATTATCATCATCATCATCATCATCATCGTCATCGTCATCATCATCATCATCATCATCATCATCATCATCATCATCTTCATCGTCAGCACCATCATCAGCATCATCATCAACATCACCAGTACCACCACCACCAGCTTCACAATCACCATCGTCAGCAAACATAGTCGACAGAAGCGCATCAGTTTGTGGTTTCTCGTTGACCGCATAACTACTGTTCAAAGATAGCGTGCGCAAGACATCCCGCCCAAATGAAACACCTGAATCTACAGAGAACGAGTAGGTAACGTGTTACCTGGCGAGCCCCATGCTTACATGCACCTTTGGTTTGGCGGCTGCCGGAGAGCTGCTCGCGCTTGATCCCCCTCGCTCCTCGATTCTCCTCCTGAAATGGCGAGCTCCAATCCAGATTCTACAGGCTTACGCCACATCCGCCGACCCCTTCTGTGACTGTTGCGAGACCAGGAGTTTCTGGCCAGCGGCGTCTTGTGTGAGGGTGCGGTGTCGCGCGCGGGTGGTGGCAGATACGTAGGGGGTCCAAATGTTTGCTGTGATCAGCGAAGCATCACCGCGAAAGATGTGGCAGATGAGTCGAAACGGGTGAAAAGGCTGTTGACGTTCGCAGCGCGCACGAAACAGTTCGCGTAGCAGCAGCACATTCGCGCCGAGCAAGATTGTGAGCACGTCGCGAGGAAGAACAAGGCTGCATGCGCGGAGTGCATTGCAGTTGGCTTGACGGCTCGCAATGCGGAAGCGTCTGGGGGTCTTTTGGAGGCCTCCTGGGGGGCTCTTGGGGGCTCCTTGGGGCGTCTTGGCGGCCTCTTGGGGGCCTCTGGCGGCCTCTTGGGGCCCTCCTGGGACGCATCTTGGAGGCCTCTTGGGGCCTCTTGGGGCCGTCTTGGGCCGTCTGGAGGCGATCGTCGGTGTCTTTGATCGCTCTTCGACCGTCTGTGACCATATTGAGCTCTCTTGGAGGCCACTTGAAGCGCTCCTGGAGCGCTCTTGGGGCCGTCTTCGGGGCCCTCTTGGGCAATCTTGGGCGCCTCTTGGGCTGTCTTGGGGCTCTCTTGGGCTGCCTTGGAGCTTCCTTGGAGGCTGCTTGGACCGTCTTGGGGCGGTATTTAGGGCCTCTTGGGCCGTCTGGGAGCGTCGGAAAGCCCAAAAAACGAATTCGTGAAAAATGTACGTTTTACGAAGGGAATGGGCCAATTTTTGCGTCTAGGGACCCTCGTGGGACGCATCTTGGAGGCCTCTTGGGGCCTCTTGGGGACCTCTTGGGCCGTCTTGGAGGCCTCTTAGCCCGTCTTTGAGCCATCTTGGGCGTCTGGGAGCGCTCGTTTGGCGTCTCGGGGCTCCCGTGGGCCGTCTGGCCTCTTGGGGCCATCTTGGCCCGTCTTGAGGCTTCCTGCGGCCCGGAAAAGCCCCGGCGGCGCTCGTCCCGGGCCCGGGGGGGGCGCTCGTCCCGGGCCCGGGGGGGGCGCTCGTCCCGGGCCCGGCGCTCGTCCCGGGCCCGGGGGGGGGGGGTCAAATCGCCGGTTTGGGGTCCCGGGGGGGGGACTATAGGGGGGGGAAGTATCTCACACGCCTAGAGACCCACAAGGGGTCGGCGGATTTGTTCGCTGACCCCTCCTGGGATCCGCCCTGGCTGGTTTTCCACCCTGGGTTCATTTCTGACGGCCCCGAGGGTTATTTTTCGGAGTACACATTGACCCGGACCCCTGATGGCTGACTTTTGACACGGACCCTGCTCTAAGGAGGTATGCCTGTGACCTGCACACTCTGCCACTGCAGAGCGCTGAGCGCAGATCCGTTCTTGCTCAGTTCACTGCGGTGCTGTGAGGAAAGACAAGGTGAGCGACGAAGAGGGACGGGCCCCACTGCGCAGACACTCGCGCGCAAGCTTCCCGCGTAAGGTCGCGCGTAAGCGCCCTCGTCTCAAGTGTAGCGTGCCGCGCCCTTGCCCGTCCTCGGGATCGGCGAGAAAACGGTTCAGGCCGGCGGCACGCGCAAGCCACCGCGTAAGGTCGCCGTGCCATCCCCCGTGAGACCCGCTGTTGACCGTCGCTCAGGTCTGCGGACAAGCAGTATCGGCGCTCCTCCTTTTCGGATGCAACTCCTGAGAGGTCAAGCTCTGACTTTTGCCCTGGTGCGAAATCCGGCCGAAGCCGGCTCATTTCCGCTCCATTGGGCTCGATCCTGCTTGCTCCGGACTTGTCCCGCTTGATCCGCGGCCGAATCAGGGGCAGCAGCCCTCCAGTGGTGGTTACCCACATCGCGCATCTTTGTTACCCGATGTGGTTGTACAGTTATCTTGGCTATTTGTATAACTTCTAATGTCCACGCTAGCCGGGTGGACGCCGGCGTGTCGCCACTTCGGGGGTATACTTCCAATTTTCTTCGGAGGAGGTGATGGGACCTGCACCAGGGAGGCCCAGTGGGTCTCGATCTTCCTCGATCCTTCTGGCGAAGACCTCTCAGCAGGCAGCTGCCTCCTGACTTCTCGAGGAAGAGAAGCCCCCGAGGGAGGAGCCCATCGTCGAGCCCATCGTCGCCCTCCGCGTCCTGCCGCCGCGGCCCCGGCCCCGTGCTCCGCTGGGGCCCCCCTTGGGGGGGCCGTGCCCGCCTCCGCCGGGGGCAGGACACGCAGCTGATCGTGGACCTGCTCGGGGTGAGGATGGAGAGGCTGCAGCGGGAGCTCGTGGACTCGCAGGAGACCTGGGGGGCTCCGCGCCGACGGAGGAGGAGGAGGCGAAGGCGGAAGAGGAGGCTGGAGGAGGAGGAGGAGGAGGGAGGAGGAGGAGGGAGGAGGAGGAGGGAGGAGGAGGAAGGAGGAGGTGGAGGTTGCTGACGCTGACCCTGGCCCAAGCTCCCCCCCCCCCCTTCCCACCGTCTCGTTGTTCCACTGCTGGAGCCACTGAGGCCCTCTGGGATCCTCCTGGCGCTCTGGTGGCCGCGGGGTCTCCTTGGAAATCCTGGGGACACCTTGGTTCAAGCAGTGGCGAAGCTTCCTGGCTCGCCTGTAGGCCCACCAAGGAATATTCCAGAAGCCTTTTGCGGTTTCCACGACATGTTCTTGGAACATTTCTGGCTGAATCTGTCTTGGTTTAACACATCGGGTCTGTGTTCTGAGAACATTGTTTTTGTGATTCGAGCACTCGTGGGTTCTAAGAACATGGTGTGGTCCTATAGGTATGCCGGGACGGTCGGTCCCTGCTCAAGAGGGAGAGAAAGATCGGACAGAGGGTGAAGATTTGCCAGCAATGTTCGCATCTCCTGAAGGCCGCGGCGTTGCTCCTCATCAGGCAGTGGCGGAAGGCCAGTGTCGCCCGAGAGTTTTGGGTGCATTTTTGTCATGTGTCCTCCACCTCTTGTGTACAGAGTTCGTGCCAGCAGACGGTTCAATGTTAACCCTCTGGCACGGCTTGCGAGGACGGGTACACCATTTGACCGATGTTTCACGCTTGTGTCGGACACATATCAAAAGGGGGATCCATTCGAGAAGTAGTATTGTCAGGGCGGAATGAGGATTCCTGGTCAGATCATTGACGGCAGGAGGATGTTCTTCAGCGCATCCGCCGTCCGCCAGGCACCGAATATGGAAGAGTCACCCTGGACGCACGAATTGAGGGAGGCGACGCACGCAGGCAGCCTCGTGAGTTTTTTTGTGCCCCCCACCATTTTCCAACCATCCTGTTGTGTCGGGTCATCGTTCTGAACAGAGCCCCGCGTCACTCCCCCTCCTCCTCCTTCTCCTCCCGCTGCCGTCTTCCCTTCGCCTCTCACCATTATCATCATCATCATCATCATCATCATCATCATCATCATCATCATCAGCATCAGCATCATCATCATCATCATCATCATCAGCATCAGCATCAGCATCAGCATCAGCATCAGCAGCAGCAGCAGCATCAGCATCAGCATCAGCATCACCATCATCATCATACTCATCAGACTACTCATCAGCATCATCATGATCATCATCATCACCATCATAATCAACATCATCATCATCAGCATCATCATCATCATCGCCATCACCGTGCATCATCAGCATGCCCACCACCATCATCATCATCATCATCATCATCATCATCTTCATCACCATCATCATCATCAACATCATCATCATCATCATCATCATCATCATCATCAGTATCAGCATCAGCATCAGCATCACCATCATCGTCCTAATCATTGCCGCTATCATCACCATTGTCGCCATGCGCTGAGGCACTCCCCTCTCATGTTTCGTGGTCCCACAGGCAGCTTAACCTGAGGCCCCAGTGGCGCAGACCGCATGTGGGCGGCACCCGTTCCGGCACGCCCCTCACACGCTCTGTGGCCCCACAAGGGGGCTCCAACTCTAAGGCCCCAGTGCCCCAACCCGCACGTGGGCGACATCCTCCTCCTCCTCCTCCTCCTCCTCATCCTCCTCCTCCTCCTTCGACTCCTCCTGAGACTCCTCCTCCTCCTCCTTCGCCTCCTCCTCCTCCTCCTCCCTCCGTTGTTGCACACACCCCCAGTTGTCGTGTCCCCACAGGGAGCTCCACCGAAGGCCCGAGTGGCAAAGCCCGCACGTGGGCGTCATCCCCGCTTCGACGCACCCATCACGCGTTTCGTGGCCCCACAGGGAGATCCACCTACGGTCCCAGTGGCGCAGCCCGCATGTGGGCGACGCCCCCGTTTCCGCAAGCCCTTCCCACGTGTCGAGGCCCCAAAGGGAGCTCCACTTAAGACCCCAGTGGCGCAGCCCGCATGTGGGCGACGCCCCCGTCTCTGCAAACGCCACACGTGCCGTGGCCCAAACGTGAGCCCAACCCACGGCCACATTGGCGCAGCCTGCATGCGGGCGAAATCTCCGTTTCTGCAGACCCCTCCCGCGTTCCGTGGCCCCCAGAGGAGTTCCACCTCAGGCCCGAGTGACGCAGCCCACACGTGTGCGACACCTCCGTTTCGGCACACCCCTCGCACGATTCGTGGCCCCACAGGGAGCGCCACTTGCGGCCCCAGTTGCGCGGACCACATGTGGGCGGTACAGAAGGCACCAGTGGCCCAGCCCGCATGCGGGCGACACCGCCGCTTCGGCAAACCCCTCACACGCTTCGTGACCCCAAAGTGAGCTCCACGTAAGGCCGCATTGGCGCATCCCGCATGTGGGCGACACCCCCGTTTCGACACACCCCTCACACGTGTCGTGGTTCCACAAGGAGCTCCACCCACGGTCCCAACGCCACATCCGGCATGCGTGCGATGCTTCACGAGGAGTTCCACCTCGAACGGTACTCACAATTGCAGTACTCACAATTGCATGTGGTTTGGTTAGTCGGCAAGCTAAGTTCTGCGACCAGGGGTGGTTTCGGGTCAGGGCCCTGGATGCGATGACATTGCAGGCCATGTCCAGCTGGTAGACGTAGAACGACGGTCAACGCTTCGGCCCAGGGCTGCAGTTCTCTTGAGCGCTCGGTCGTCCTACGTCTTGGGTTGTCAAAGCCCCGCTTACGGGGGGCCGACGGCAACGCTGATGAGCGGTCTAATGGTGTTCCTGGCGACGTCGCTTATGATGCTGACATTGGTGACGACGGTGATGATGCTGCTGTCTCTGATGTTGGTATTGCTGCTGAGGCGACGATGATGGTGATAGTGATGACGATGGCGGTGATTATGATGATGGTGATGATGATGATGATGATGATGATGATGATGATGATGATGATGATGATGATGATGATGATGATGATGATGATGATGATGATGATGATGATGATGTTGGTTATCATGATGATGGTGATGATGACGATGCAAATGGTGATGCACACTATGATACTGGTGCTGGTGGTGGTCGTGGTGGTGTTGCCGTTGTCGTTGATGATGGAGGTGAGGATGGTGATCGTTATGCGCATCATTTGGTTGATACCGATGATCATGAACATGCGATGCTGGCGAACGGTGATGCCGGTGATGATGTCGACAACGGCAGTGGATGATTTAAGTGCACCGCGCACTCCGCCGACCCATAGTGCGTCGTCATTTCCATGTGTATGTGCTCGTGGGCATTTAGGGGGTTGTTTGGTAGGAGTCGTTTCTCTACTCTGTCGTTTGAAGCTCGCGTGGGGGATACGCTGTCGCTGGGCAGATTGAGTGCAACACTCGCTGGAACCTGGCCGCGCCCAAGTCGCGTCATCGAAGCCAGAAACAATGCCACGCCGCACATCAACAATATCTTCGTGGGCTGTCGGGGCATGTTAAGGTACTCCGGGGGTGCTTTGGACATTTTTGGGCTACCTGGAGATTGCTCAACAACGCTGGCCCCCCATGGGCTCAGCATATGGCCTTGTTTGGTTATTTTGGGTCAGCTTTGGAGTTCTTCACGCCTTGCGTATCCCCACCAGTTGCAGTGGCTGATTAGCTGCCCTCGCGCTCGCTTCGCTTGCCTCTCTTTTCTTGCTGCCTAGTCGCGGCCCGACTAGTGTTCGGACGGTTTTCGACCTTCTTCGCGAGCCCGCAGACCAAACAGTATCCCCACCAGTTCTTTTCCTGCTGCCCAGTCGCGGCCCGACTAGTGTTCGGACGGCTTTCGACCCGCCCCGCGAGCCTGTTGACCAAAAAGTATCCCCACCAGTGTTCCGCTCTGTGCATGCCGTTGCTCGCCTCTCTGGTGTTCTTTTAGCTAGTGGCGCGACCGGCCCCTGGTTGCACGGCGTTCGACCCGCCTCGCGCGCCCGCGTACCAACAAGAAATTATTTCAGCAAGTCCATTGAGAAACCCGTCCCATGAGACTTGAAAGGCAACGACACGAAGAAACATATGTTTTGAAACAGAGCGGGCAACCAGTGTGAACACAGGGATTTATTGGTGCAAGGGGGTTGTTTTGGAGGGCTTCTTAGACCCATCCCTGGGGCCAACGGCTCATCAACGATGTTGGAGCACTTTCTCCCTCCAGGCTCCGTCTTCATATGCCCCTACCAGGGTTCATTGCCATTGAGGGAATTGCCCCATTGGGGGTCAACGGTGAGAAAATCCTGAAGCGCGCCAGAACACCATACTCAGGAGTTCGGCGCCACGAGTCAACCTGACTCCTTACGTCTTGGCGACCCTGAATCGTGCCAGAATGCCGTTCCTGGGGCTTCAACACTGCGAACAAGCGTTCCAGATCGTCGACATGGGTACGGTAGCGTGAGAACCAGTAGAACCCATGCGAATTTTAAAAGGGTGCGCGGCGCTAAGGCGACAGCAACATTTTGAAAAGGCACTGCCCCAAATCCATTGACATCTGGCAGTTTGTTAGGGCGAATATGCGGGGCGCTAATGCGAGAGCCACCTGTTGAAAAAGACCCGCCTTCAATGAGTGAAGCTGTTGCTCATTTTTGAAGCGAATGAGCGCGGCACTCAGGCGAGATCCACATTTTGAAAACGACACGCCCTCAATCGGTAAACTTGTTGCAAAATTAGAAATGAACGAACTCAGCGTTGAGGCGAGAGCCACATTGTGAAAACGGCCCGCCCTGAATCAATGAAGGTTTCGGGAATTGCTCATATGAGTGCGCGTGGCGCTAAGGCGACAGACACATTAGGAAGGCGACCCGCACTGCACTTGTGAAACAGCTGCTGACTTTTAAGCTTCAGGATCATAGATGATGAGGAAGTCTCAGGCGACACGACTGGCCCGCACTTTCGAGTGGCCTCGGGAAGGAGTTATCGTTACATAAG